AGGAAAGAAGGAAAGAAGGACGGAAGGAATCTCATTGCTGTGGAGGCAGAACTAGACTCCAGAGAGGTTTTGAAAGTTATCAACCACTCAAGAGAAGATTGCCCATCTTTCTTCCAAGAAACTGCTGGAGGATTTGAACCTCTGTAGAGGTTCCTCCTTTGGGTTAGCTAAGCAGCACCCTAAGAACTATTTCACCAGAGTTTCTGTGTTATATAGATTGTGGTCATGTTGTTGAGTTGGAACCAACTCGGAGTTGACCCTCCAGTAGGCCTTCAGATACTGTGAATTGCACGGAAGGAGATTGTCCATCTTTTTTCTCAAGAAGTGACTGGTGGAATCAAATTACCTTCCTTTGGGTTGAGAGTATAACTCCTAACCAAGTTGGTCACCGTATCGCCTATTTATAGCTAATAATTTTTGTTCTATGGGGTTAAGTAAATCTTACAGCAGTATATTGTCCAACACACCTGTATACAATTTTGAAATACTTTTCCATTGAAACTTAAAAACGTCCTTTAACCCTTTGCCACTTTTAGGTTGAAAAATAGGTGAAAAATTAGATTCAAAGTGAAAACATTATGCAACAGGCACAAATTAAATACTCCACAATATAATTAGTGTCATATTTCTCTGTTTTGCAGGTGTAACCAGAATAAACTGTCCATCCTCCCATACAGAAATGTTCTTTTAGTAATTTTGAAAGCCTCTTTCCATACAGTGTAGGCCACAAGTCCCCAAAATGTTAGTGTGGCAATTCCGACTGCAAAAGAGATTCTGTCCAACATCTGCAGCTGCATAGGACCCTTCTTGCAGACATTTGAAACATAGTAATTGTTGTTCATCTTTTACTCTGAACCTTTTGCTTTTCATGAAAATTTTGACTACTTACCATGCTCATCTTTCCAGGAGGTCTGGCCATCCTCTTAAAAAGAATTTAAATGGGGGAAAAATGCTTTGTAGACCTTTTGAAACAGTCTCTGGTTTTGAAAAAGAAAACAAGACAGTTTCTCAATCCTTTCTCTACTATAAACATTAAAAAGACAATCTTGTTATAACAGTGGCTTCCTTTGTAAAGCCCCAGATCCCAAAACTGTTAAGTTGAATCTGACTCATAGTGAGCCTCCATCAGGTCTCACTCAAAAGCTCTAAGTCTATATGGGAGGAGGTTTCATCTTTCTTTTTAGGGCTCAAACTCCTGACTGATCAGGGTAATTCTTAACACACTTTGCCACTATGTGAAGCGCTACTTTCTAGTGTGCATTGTTTAAAAAATTATTCATTTAGTTTATTTTCCCATAGCTTAATCATATTTAATAGTATTTTAAAGCTGGGTTCTGTGGTAAGGTTTTAATAACATTTTTCTTGTTCTCAAAGTCCTATTGCAGTGAGAATCATGAATGATCAATTGATGCTCCTGGAGAGAGCATTCATCGACCCTCTTGGCTTACCAGGAAGGCCATTTTATAGGTAAGAAAAGAACAGATAAAATTCTAGAGGGAATCAAAACACTCAAAGTTGAGGCATACTTAAAATTGACTTTAATGTTATCTTGTAAATGAAGATGAATATATATTTTGACGTAAGCATGGGTAAGATTGTATATCAACTAACAATAAATTTGTTATCAGAAATGCCAATTTCATGGGATTTGGGGGGGTGTCTTACTGCAGATTAAACTGTTAAAAAAGATGTCTTTGTGATACAAGATCTTCAGGAAAATAAAGGTTATCTAGTTCTGCTCTACGTGAATCTTTTTTCAGTTAAATAGTTTTCCAGCCTATTTGGAGTACTTCTAGTAATAAGAAGCTTACTGCTTCATTAAGTTAGAAGTAATCTATTTTGTTTTAAGAAAGCTCTAAAAAAAATAAAACACACACAAAAAAAGAAAACTCTAGGTTTTGAAATTTCCCCCCCCCCCATAAATATGAGTTTATTTTCCTGGCTTTTCTTCCTCTTTGACCGTGTTCTGTGCTCCAAAATAAAATAGAATTGGTCTGCATTTATTGCCATGTAATACATGGCTTTCTGAAGATAGTTGTCATGTTTTCCCTAAATATGAACTGCGTTTTTTTATTTGTATCTTTATGCCATGATTTCCTTTCAGTCTTGGATCCATGCCTCGGAACAGTTTCTCTTCCTCCAAGATCCTTTTGTTGTGTTAGTTTCTGAAGGTCAATGTTATAAAAATAACACAAGGGATTGACTTAAAAAAAATACAACAAAACATGCAGAAAAAAATCCAAAAAACCAAAACACAGAAACCCAAACATACAAACAACAACAACAGCAACAAAACAACTCAGAAAGCCAGAAAATGTTTTTCTCACAGTTGAGAAGGTTAGAAGTCTAAATTCAGAACACTAACTGTCCAGTGACTCTTTTTCTGTCAGCCAATGGGTGGGTGTAGTAAATCATTGTCTCTTCCCACATCATTGTTTTTTACAAAAATATCATAGTTATATGCTGTCGAGTCAAAACTGACTCATGGCTGACCCTCCAATGGGTTTACAGAGGCTATAAATCACACTGGAGGGGATTGCCCATCCATCTTTTCCTTGCAGAGAAGCTGGTTGATTCAAATCACTTTTCTTCATGTTTGTAACTCAATTCCTTACCAATCAGCCAGCAGAGCTCACCTGCCTTCCTCTAATTGTGCTGTGTTTTTCTGTATCTGAACTGCTGTGTTCATATCATACAGAGATGATTATTGTCTAATGTGGAGTCAGAATCAATTTTGTGTAATGTTTTGTTGTGTAATGTGGAGTCATATTTGACCTTCTGGTGGATTTTCAGAGACAATGAATTACCTATGCTCCAATTCATTTACAAACATACTGAATAGGGGAAGAACAACATCAAATTTATCCGTTAGTTTTGTGTTGTTTTTTAATTGGGAAGTATCTTTATATGTTGCTGCTCTTAGTAGCTTAGATAGGTATGTGTTTGCTTGCCTGCTCTTTGGTTTACAATGCTTGTCTGTCAGATGCTGTACTAAAGCAAATTAAGACCAAATTAGTACAGAGTAGGAACTGGCCTACTCACTTCTGAAATAAAAGGCCACTGAAAAATTTATGAACAACAGAGCACACTTATATTAGGTATATTACCCGAGACTTAGCCCTCATATTGGGAAATACAAAAATTAGGAGAAATAATTGTAAACAGCCATAATAATTGGAATGTGGAATGTATGAAGTATGAATGTAAGAATATTGGACATTGTTAAAAAAGAAATGGAACACGTAAGTATTGACATTAGAGGCACTGGCAAACTGAGATGGATTGCCATGGGCTACTTTGAATCAGATGAATATGATTCAAATAATACTTGAATATTATCTGTTGTGCTGGGAATGAAAACATTAGGAAAAATGGGGTTGCATTCATAATCAAAGGACGTTTTGTAGATCAATCCTGAAGTACAGTGTTGTGAGTGACAGGACACTATCCACATGCATACAAGGAAGACCTGTTAATACTACTCTCATTCAAATATAAGCAGTATCAAATAAAGTTGAAGAGGAGGAAATAGAACATTTTTACCAACTTTTGCAATCGGAAATTGATCAAATATCAACCAAGATTCATTAATAATCATTTTTGACTAGAAAACAAAAGTTGGGAACAAGGAAAAAGGTTCAGTAGTTAGAAAATCTGGACTTAGTGACAGAAATGAGGTTGGAGCTAGAATGACAGAATTTTGTGCAATTAATGATTTATTCATTGTGACTACCTTTGCAATAAATTTTTTTTTTAAAAATCCCACCCAAACATTAGTGATGACTATACACATGTATCTCACCTGATGGACTTCACAGGAGTCAGTTTGTTGATGGGCACCTAGGTTGTTTCCAACTCTTTGCTATTTTGAACAATGAAGCAATAAACATGGGTGTACATATCTCTGTTTGTGTGGCAGTTCTGGTTTCTTTAGGATATATTCCCAGTAGGGGAATTACTGGGTCAAATGGTATTTTTATTTCCAACTTTTTGACAAAGTGCCATACTGCCTTGGAAAGAATATATCAGCTGAGACAAAAAATGTGAGGTGCTAACTGTGGAAGAGACCATCTTCTACTCATGTGCAAGTTCAAACTGAAGCTAAATTAAATGAGAACAAATTCATAAGAACCAAAATATGACCTTGAGTCTATCCCATCTGAATTTAAAAACTATCTGAAGAATAGGTTTGTGTCCTTGAACACTAATGAATGAAGACTAGATGAACTATCAGATGGCAACAAGATTATCATTCATGAAGTAAGCAAAAGGTCTTACAAAGATAGAGGAGGAAGAAAAGATCAAGATAGATGTCAGAAGAGACTCTAAATATTGCATTAGAATGCTGAGAAGCTAAAATGGAGAGAAGTCAGGAAGTTAGCGTTGACAGAAAGACAAAGCAAAGTATTATAACAATTGAGCAAAATCCAAAGGAAAGAACTCTTTCAGCATTTCTCAAGCTGAAGGAACTGAAGAACAAATTCAAGCATCAAGTTGTAATACTTAATATCAAATGGTCAAGGAAGCATCAAAAGAGGATGGAAGGAATACATGGAGTCACTGTACCAAAAATAATTGACTGACAGATCATTTGAGGGAGTAGCATATGATCAAGAACTAATGGTATTAAAGAAGGAAGTACAAGCTGCTCTGAAGGAATTGGCAAAATATAAAGTCCCACAAATTGATGGAATATCAATTCACATATTTCAACAAAAGATGTAAATCTGTATGTGCTTACCAGATCATGCCAAGAAATGTGGAGGACAACTGGCTGGAAAAGATCTATGTTTATTCCCAATCCCAAAAGACGTGATCCAAAAGAAGGGGGAAATTATGAGATGATATAACTAATATCAAACAGTTAAGGATCCAATCCTTGGGAAATGACATCACACTCAGGAAAGAATGAGATCAAAGAAGAAAAGAAGATCCTCAACACAATGGATTGATATGGTGACTGTACACAGGAATACTATGCAGCATTGAAAAACAAGGAACTCATGAAATAATATGCAAAATGAATGACTCTGGAGAAAATTATGCTGAGTGAAAGATCTCAGTCACAAAAGGATAAATAATGCATAAAGCCACTGTTGTAAAATGGGACTGAAATCGGGGTTGAGGGAAGACAGAGAAGGAGGGGAGGAATGAGGTATATTGCATTGAAACAGATGAGAGAAAGAACTGTTTAAAAGGAATATATGATATATGATATATGTCATTACAGGAGTCCAAAAAAGGCTGCACAGTGGAGTGGACTTGGAGGGGAGGGAATTACCTAACAGTGAAAGAGTTTTACTTTTCAAGGAGAAGAGTGAATTGGGCGAGGAGGGAGTGGACAGGGAGAAAATGCAACAATGAATGACTGGAAACCCTAAGTCTCTGTAAACTTTGATTAAAATTAATAAAAAAATGGGCTTGGGCATGTCTTGGGTTGTGGGAATGGTATAGGATAGGGCAAGTGTTAGATCTGTTGTTCATAGAATTGCTGTGAGTCATAGAGAGAACTCTGTTGGCTTAGAGGAAGAGAAAGTTATGCTACCAAGCCAAAGATGGGTGATTTTAATCTGCAGCCATCAGGCCTGGTGTTAATTGTTTTGGTCAAACATTCTTCTAAGTAGTATAGCATTGGTCTGCCAAATTGCTGTACAGCAGTAACTCATACTTCCTATGATGTTAAACACTGTGACACTGATGTGTCAGATGCAATAATGATTACCCACGGTAGACAATGTTCGGTGGAGCTCCCAGATTAAAGCAGGCTTGGAAGCAGAAGTGATATCCACTTCTGAAATAGCTTGCCTCCACTCTATAAACTTAGAGAAATGATTAATGCTATGCAAATGTTCAGATCTTTCATTCATAGGGTCACTATGAGTCATCTACAACTCAATGGCACTTAGCAACAACAACAATAATATCACATGTAAGCAAAACCTTGCTGAGGATTATCCAAATTCGACTAGAACACTACATAGATAACTGTCTGAAAGATAAGTTGTTGTTATTGTTGTTATGTGCTGTCAAGACACCTGTGACTCATAACAACCCTATGTACAACAGCCCTAAGCCTTGCTCTATCGCTGCCAATCTTATTGTCTCTGACACGCCTATCCCCATTACCCCAGTCACTGAATCAGTCTATCTCATAGAAAGTCTTTCTCTCCTGTGCTGTCTCTTCACCCTCTCAAGCATGACATCCCTTTCCAAGGATTGATCCCACCTTGCAACATGTCCAAAGTATGTCAGACAAAGCTTCAGAATCCTTGCCTTCAGGGAGCAGCCTAGCTTACCCTTTCCAGGATGAACTTGTTTGTTCTTCTAGCAATCCATGGTATATTTAATATTCTTCTCCAGCACCACAGCTCAAAAACATCAATTCTCCTTCTATCATACCTAGTCATTGTCCATCTTTCTTGCAATAGCAAGTAATTGCAAAGACCATGGCCTATATCATGTGCATC